CGAAAGTGAAACCTGTATCAAAAATATGGTCAGTACAGAGAATGTGTTAGAAACATAAAAAGTACATTTTATCAAGTTTGATGACTTCTAGTTCATAAAAGACCAGTCTCGTACTTAATACAATCTAAAAAATTGGGGCTATGGCATATGTACCTTCTTCTAACTTTTGTCTGATCAGGTAGTAAATAGAAATGACGATAACCTAAAAGTCTAGAAATAAATACTACACGTGCAAATATTTTAGATGCAGTTATCCAACTTTTAATGCCGACAATACTTCGATCAGATAACGAATTCATATTTCTTTTTCTCCATGAAAAGGCTTTACAATCAATCTATTATTTATTGCTGTTTGTTCAAGTTTTGTTCAGAAACAACGTATTTTTGCTTATCCTCCCCCCCTCTATACACATTCCAGCTGACTGACTTGACAACGCAACCCTTTTACTATACACCTTCTCCTGAGCTATAAGTGCAGTACCACGGAGTGCCCGATGAAAATCCATCTCATCGTGCGGTCGTTCCCTCTACCGCCTATTCTCTTTCTCCTGTAAGAGAAAGATAGGCGTAGATGCAATCGACGAATCGCAAGTACTCAGAACGGCTCTAAATGGCAGCAACCCGGTCAAGTGTAGCTGTTTGTACATATACGGTAGCTGCTACCATCTCTAATCAGAACATGCTGCGGTAACAGCGGCGGGGGGCAGAAGATCACAAAAGAAACAAAAATCTTTTTCTTATTCTTTTGGAATAAACAAGAAGTGGAAGTAACGAATTGGTATAGGTTAGACTATATGTTAACGTGGCAGTGCTTGTCGCTGAATTACGCAGTGTAAGTGCATACCTTTAGATACCAGGCGCCATTTTTGCGTCTATTACTTCAGCAAGGAAAAAGTATGCTCTATAGCTACGCAATTTTGAAGAGGAGCAGTGCCATGTGGCTCTCAACCTATTTAAATTCGTTGACCCAATGTGCAGACGACTGCAAACCTGGGGCGAAACATTTAATAAATCCCTACTACTCGTAATGAACTATAACTCTCTACTAATATTATAAACAAGAAAGGGTGGGTATTTGTTACTCAATCACGCCAAAATGGCTGAACGGATCTGAATGAAATTTGGTAGGTACTGAGATTTTATCCAATGGAAACAGCCTCAACGACTTAATGGAGTTTGACATGAGATGTCTTTAAGGAGGGGTGAAGTGCCCAGTCACATGAGTGAGGGTATTAGCGGGATTGTCTTGATTTATATTTATTGGGTGTAATACTGTGAATATGTAGTTATTGGGTTATTTGTCATACAATCTATGATGCGTCTAGGCGCGAAACGTACAATTATCTGTTATACCTATATCATTTTCTCTCTATATAAATGTTATTGTCTATCCAGTCTGTCAGAGTCATATCTCAAACTCATCGTCGATTTTACACAATACGTTATTATTTCTATCTGACTTTATTTGAGACGGGATTGCAAAATACAAACTACATAGACATTGCCACTGTTACTCCTCTACAAGACGCTATAGTTAGTTTTTAAATATGACGTTTCATCTCTTCTCATTCTTCAACTTTATTCTTTCACATAGACGCTATATTGTATTTTTACACAGGCTATTCAAGTTTTGAAGATGTATATGTCATACGTTACCATTGCCAAACATTAGCAGTTTCAAAAAAGCCGAATTTCCTGAGTAGGCCCTGAAACTAATAGATAGTCTTTTGTTCCATAATTTTATCATACAAGCATTCCTTGAGTTTTTAGGAACTAACATAAGCATACGATAACGCTTCCTATTACCGATTTGTAAAACTTCAAATGTCTACAGAAATTATTCCATAGTTGTTCTTAACTTACCAATACGACAAATGCTGAAACTGTTGCATATTATTTACAAGTAGTATTGAGAGCATTGAAAAAAATAGGAACATTTTAGAGTAAATCGAAGCCCGGACGATGTTGCAGCGTCCTATCCGCATTTGATACCCGCCATATCTAAACCGATGCACACATCTTGCATTGTAATACTATTAATCTGACACTTTAACTAAGTTTGCATATATTTTAACCACTTTAACTCGAATTTCTCTAACTCGAAAAGAAATCTGGCTTTTGTGATTTAAAAACCTCCCTAACTCGAAATTTCTGAGAAACTACATTCGGTATGATTACGCAATCGGTTGTTTACAACTGGTTGAAACCAGTAATAAAAGAGACAGATGCGGGGAATTACCGTTTATTGTTATTTACATTTGGAGTTCGTTTTCATCGTCATTTGTGTGTGTGGTGTGTATTAGAGCGGTTACGTTTACATATTATATTATTGCCTCCGCAAAGGAAACTGAACAGTTAAAATATCGAACAAAAAATTGAGGTTTCAATGAAAGTGGAGAGTGCAGCTGAAAAGAAGATTGTCGCTGCTGAATATCACATACCGCAGAGTACCTTGTCAAATATAATTAAAAACGCAACGTATATTCGAAATTTTGCAAGTAGCCGAGGTAGGGCAGATATGAAACGAAATAGGGATGTTGCAAGCAAAAATGTGAATACTGCTGTATTCAAATGGTTTACATCAACAAGGGATGCACATATTCCTGTGTCAGGACTACTTTTACAATAGAAGGCATTAGTAGCATTTAGGAGCAGCACATTTTAAGGCCAGCGCTGGTTCGCTTCATGGATTTAAAAAAAGGTAAAATTTCATAATCTGATATGTGTAAGAATTCTAACCCTTAGAAAAACATATGTGGGGAAGGTTCTGCAATAGATGAAAACCAAGTTAGCGACTAGATCAAAAATGAATTGCATAATCATTTGGAAAGATGTATAAAAATATTAAATGTATAGGATGTGACACTCGATTGTTTTCTTGAAATGGACTCTGACGTACTAACGACACACCATCCTAGGGACCATGATATTTTGGAAAGTGTTTTAACAATTACACCACCCTTACAATAGGAAGAAGAAAGTGATGAAGCAGCACAAATTGATAAACGACCACATAAAGGAATTATACATGCTCTTGACACTTTTAGAAGCTATTTCATGACATTGGAGACACATTCGATATACATATCACTGAACAAACTTGAAAGATTTGATTTGATGCAAATCATTCTATAAAATCTCGACAAAAGGTTCGAGTTAGAGAGGTTCCACTGTGGCTGGTATATGGGCAAATTTTCTGCATGTCCTTCAGATGCGTTTCTAAACATCAGCAAACGTGAAAATACTATTATTTTTTTAAACTACATAGGTTTGACGATCTCAATGTATGATGTATGGTACAATTTTCGAATCAGAATTAAAAACTCGATTCACCTGTGCAAATATGGCGTCTATAACGGAAAAGGAGATGAAACATCATATTGAAATTCTTCTTACACCACCTTCTAGAGGACAAACAGTCGTACTGCTAATATTCAATTTAATTTGAAATCAAATAGAAATGATATTGGGGAAATTCAGTTTTTTCTGTCTTTCACCGGAAACTCTTTCGATTGCGAATTTTTCAAAGTGCTATTTTCTTAGCTATCTTAATACGTAACTTTGTTCCATTTAATCCACTTCGTATCTTTTACCGTTTCCCAGATCTTATTGGTGAGAGTCGAGAGTGAAACACCCGGTATATCCGTGTTTTGGTTCAACGATCGTCAAGCTCTATTTCGTAATATTGTATTGACACTGAGACGAAACGTCCTTCCTACGAGTATATCTCAAGCTGGTGACATCCCTTCGCATCTCTAATCCCCTCGTATCACCACCATCAGGAATATACATCCTCGTCATAGCAGACAAATCCCCGTTCTCTCGTTTTGCTCCGTCCCCGGAACAAATCACGGACCTTCACAGTTCCGATGAAGACTTATTCGGCCAGTGCGCGGATTAGGTTGTTTATGCGCCGGCTACCGGAACCTCCGGTGAATCTTTTCCCCGGAGGACGGACGTTAGACCGACCGGACTTATTGCCGGGGTGGGTTTTAACTTAGATTGAGAAGTTTTGTATCAATCTGAGTTTGCTAGGTATGTGAAATTTATAGTTCATAATACTGCTTTAGTCGGTGCGACCAACCTTGTACAGCGCAGTTTCATGCTTATTCGCAATCATCAGCAGGGAATATCTCTAGGAAGGAACGAAAGTAGAGCAAAAGAATATTCTATCATAGGTATAAAGTCTTGTAAAGGGTGAGCCATCAGTTGTTTTTTTATAAGTTGGTATTATTTTGACAGTTGGTAACACTTCCATGCTCAACATATTGACAAATATGTCAAACTTCCGCTGTAAGCAATGGATTGTTTTAATCGTGAACAAAGGTGGGAAATATTGAAAAAATATTTTCAAAGTTACTCTGTTGCAGAAAGTTTGCAAAAATTGAGAAGACTATTTGGTCGGAATGAAGCTACGTCCGCGACTGGTATACGAAAATTCGTGAATAAGGTTCGTAAAACTGGCCTGTTTGTGGATAACAGAAAGTATGAGCGTGTTCGACCGGTACGTACAGTCGGAGACATTGCCGCTGTTGCCAAGAGTGTGCGTGAAAACGCAAGAATGTCAACTCTTCACAGAGGACAACAAATGAGCATCAGTCGCACTTCTGTGCGGAGAATATTGCATAACGACCTGGGATTATTTCCTTACCAGGTGCAACTTGTGCAAGAGTTGAAACAAAATGACCATCCGCTTCGATATTGTTTCTCTGTGCGGGCTCTAAATCAATTGGAAACGTACGTCAATTTTGGTCACCAAATCATCGTTCATTTCCATCTGGGAGGTTACGTTAACAAGCAGAACTGTAGGATTTGAAAATCCACACGTCGCCATAAAACCAATGCATCCAAAAAGAGTAACTGTTTGGTGTTTCTTTTAGAGTGTTAGGATTATTGGTCCCTACTATTTTCAAGATGAAGATGGTGACAGCGTGACGGTAAACGGGGAACGCTACAGAGACATGTTGAGGAGTTTTTTGTGGCCACTATTAGACGACATGCACTTGCACAATCTCTGGTTCCAGCAGGGTGGCGCAAGATGTCACACCAGCCAATCGATCTTTTACCCACTAAGTTCGGTCATCGCGTTAACAGCCGTTTTGGAGACGTTCATTGGCCAGCCCGCAGCTGTGATTTGACGCCCATGGATTAGTTCCTATGGCGTACTGTTAATGACCCCTGTTACACTAACGATCCTCAAAAAATTGATGTTCTTAAGGAAAATATCCGTTGAGCTATTGATGAAATAGACCCACAAACTATCTAAAATGTGCTTCAAAATTGGGTTAAGAGGATGGACTACTGCCAGACCAGCCGCGGCAGCCATTTAACTGAAATTGTTGTACATAAATAATCGGAAGGAGTATTCTTTTGAGTAAAGTATCGAGTGTTACATATTATTATTACATATTACATTCTAATACCAATTTAAAAAGAAAACCAGCGGAAGGCCACCGTGTATTACAGGTAATGAGATGTAACGACCTAAGCCAATAGATAAGAAGTATAAAAAAATCTTACAATCTTTGCTATGCTAAGTTTTTTGGTGGTATCGCTAGATTTATTGCTTTCTAATGATGAGTTCAAATGGGCATGATAGGGCTGCCGCCATTTTGATAAACGCGTTTGATCGAAGGTATCGAAAACCACCGATCCTGTGTAAAAAGTAACAGGAACAGTTGATAACTAAATTCTTCATCATTTGCTTCTGTAAACATTTGTCGTATAGTCAACGGATTAAGTAAAATTGAAGGGTAAAGGTACTTGTAATGATATTATCTGAGTCAGTGTTAAATGTTTACTCTTAACAAGCTAATGCAAAAATGTATCTTTCTACTATGGTAGGTAATTTTATATTTTCTTGAAATTTATTGCTAAGCTGGCTTACATTCATGAATTCGCCACATGGCTTACTTCCTTAATGTTCTCTATGTATACGGTCTTGTGGTAACCTTTTAAGATCGATTATACGTATGGTAATGTCTAAAATTAACTTCTTTTTTTGAAATCCTCATATATCCTTTAGCATGAGACATTACCGTTCAAAAGTATTTGTTACACTCAGAAAACAAGGACACTGATGGAAGTTATTAAAGAAAACATTTCAATATCTGTAAGAAACATCTATTTTCTTAATTCTTAACAACATATTTATAATCAAAATAATCCCATTTTCGACTCATCGATATGTCCACCTTTAATTGTAATTACAGCCTGGCAAATGATGGGTAAACTAAAGTGGATGAGGTTATTTTTTGCCATTCGTCTTCTAATATTCTTCATAAGTGTTCTTGAGATGTAGGACATTTTCGTACTTGTCTGTCCAGTTCATCCCACAGCAACTACGAGCCCCCTCCCACTTCAGTTGGCCCAACTATTGAAATCTTAGTCTTTTTCTTATCAAACACAAATAATAAAAATGTAGCAGGGTGTTATAGGTTTAAAATATTAACAATGAATATTTTGATAACATATAGTAGAAAACACCAAATTTATCACTCCCTAGTCAAATTTGAAGCATAAAAATAACACATGTTGCAATTACAGCATATCAACCTATTTTCATTTTAATGCAAAATAGGTCTATAACGCACAGGTGGCTGTGAAAAATAAAAGCCATGACAATTGTTTTTATTAATCACAGCTGTCAGAATACATTTAAAATAGTTTTGGGTAGTTAAGGTTTTCAAAATGTGTAGAGGAAAGGTTATTAGTGAGAATATTCGGTTATTGATTATTAAATTTTTTAATTCCGGGAAATCAAACTCAGAAATTGCAAATTTGTTAGACTTATCGCGGTACAGTGTGAGAAATATTGTTAGAAGATATAACGTAACTGGTTCAGTTAATACATATGTGAAAAAAGGTAATATCACAAATGCCGACCGAAAAGCATTAAGAAGAATAATCGTGAAAAACAAGCATGCCAATTATTTACAATTGAGTGCTCTGTGGAGTGACGCTGTAGCAAGGAGAATTTCGAGGTCCACAACTGATAGAGAGGCCCACAAACTGGGATTTAGCACTTTCAAGGTAAGTCTTCTTATAAAAAAAAGTGAAGTAAAAACCCTAAAGTTGCACAACTTGTTTATAGGCCAAATAAAAGCTACTATTAACTCCACTGCAAAAGAAAAATCGGCTTAAATGGGCTAAAGAACATAGACAATGGACACCTCAACAATGGTGTATAATACAATGGAGTGATGAGGCCCGATTCGAAGTTTGTGTTGGTGACAGTCGCAGCAGAGTTATTCGCAAAAAAAATGAAGCATTCCATATTGACTATCTGAAGAGAAAAGTGAAATTTCCAGCATCCATTATGGTCTGGGGCAGTATGTCATCAAAAGGAGTAGGAAAACTTCATTTTATTGATGGAAATGTGGATATAAACAAACATTTGGCAATTTTAGAAGAATCGCTTTTACCAGTGATGGAAGAATGTTTGACATCCGGCCAAGATTTTGTGTTTCAGCAAGATGGTGTGGCGTTTCATACCTCAAAAAAGGCGATAAAATGGATGGAAGAAAATAATGTACCACTTTTGAAATGGGTTTCTAGCAGTCCAAATCTGTCACCTATTGAAACTTTGTGGCACGAGATGAAAAAGGTTCTATGACAACATCCTGCTCGTACAATCACCGAACTGAGACAAAAGCTTCAAGAAAAGGGATCGTTTTACACCAAATTTTTGCCAAAACTTGGTTAATACTCTGCCCCAAAGAATTTCAGCCGTAATAAAAAATAAAGGTAATCTTTTAATTGTTGCTTTGTTAACTTCGCGCATTTATTCGCAGATTGTTTATTTGTTCAGTCGTTCTATTAGTTATAGGTCTAAGTGATTTAAAATATGTATTTTTTATAACTAGAGTGTATCTAAAATGTTTTTGAGAAAATAAATTGTTTTAGAAGTAAATAGTTTCGTCATGTTTAGTTTATAAAGGCATATTTTGGTACAAATCTTGAAGTGGGCCAACTGAAGTGGGAAGGGACTCGTATAGCAACTCTACCGGACTCAAACAGGGGGATTGGGGAGGCCATAATATGACTTTAAAGATATTTTGTTCTTCTTAAACTTCCAAAAATTCTTAACATAGCTTGGATGTGTGTTTGCTGAAAGACAAACCCCAGACCAATAAGACGAGTCCCAGAAGAGACAACATGATTTTGTAGTATGACTTTGTAACCTTCTTTATTCAGAAATATCAGTATTCTCACAATTTCCCCCAGAACGGAACCACCAAAACAGCCACAAATCGTCATAGAGCCTCCACCGTGTTTGACTAAAGTGACGGTGCATGATTCTAATGCGCTCATGTTAGGCCGACGGCGGACAAATACTCTTCTCTTGGAACAAAAAACTTCATATTTCGATTCATCGCTGCAGAGGACTTTCTTCCAGTCAGCAACCGTCCAATTTTGATGTTGTTTTGCCCAATTCAGTCTCTTTTTCTTTTGTTAGTGGCCCTGAAGAGTGGTTTCGATACTGCTATGCATCCCTTAAGACCAGCTTCTCTTAACTGTAGTCACACTTACAGGTTTACTACGGCCCACATTCAAGTCCGCTGCTATTTTAGGTGCAGTCATGCGTCTATTGCGTTTACTTTTCACTATTATGCTTAAGTCTTTAGGGGAAGTTTTAACTCTGGATCTCCCTGAACGACGGCTATTGGATGTTGTGCCTTGAGCCTTAAATTTCTTAATAATGTAGTGTACAGGTGACAGTGGTACTTCTGAATTTTGGAAATTTCTCCAATACTTTCACTGAAACTATCAAGACCAATAATAACTCCTTTTATCTCCTCGGAGTATTCTTTAGTTTTACCCATTTTGTCCAGAAAAAACATAAACAAAACCGTACTTGTTGAACAATCTTGAAATATACGGTATTGAAGCAAGGTTAGTTTATCAAATGAGACAAGATAACTGGGGTAAAACTATGTTATGGGTTTACGTACAACACAAATTAAAAGAAGAAATCGATAAACAAATCCCGAGAAACAATTCCTATTCAAAAACATAACAATATTCTAAAGGAAAAGCATTATGGCAATGAGACACCAATAACTATGCGAGCAAAATTTTGATTTCACTGATCTTTTAGTGCTGCTTGATTTCCATGGTGATAGTTTTCAATACGAGGGTGGTCCCAGAAGTACCCGACCCAACGAAGAAAACACAAAAATTTTGTAAAAAATGTATTTATTTTTCAACATAATCTCCTTTGAGCTCTATACACTTTTCCCAGCGATGTTCAATAAGTTCGATACCCTTTTTATAATACGAACTGTCTGCCGACATCACTTCTTCATCGTTGAAAAATCTTTGCACACTGAGCCACTTTTTCAAGTTTGGAAACGGAAAATAATCCGAGGGGGCTAAATCTGGTGAATAAGGTGCATGAGGTAGCAATTCAAACTTTAATTCGTTAATTTTGGCAATTGCAATAACGGATTTGTGAGCTGGTGCATTATCTAGATGAAACAACACTTTCTTCTTAACCAAATGCGGCGGTTTTTGCTTGATTTCATCGCTCAAACGTTGCAATAAGTTGGCATAATACTCGCCATTGATAGTTTTATCTGTTTCAAGATAGTTAACCCTTAACCCGCCATATGGCGTCTGACAGACTACTCAATAAATTTAATTGACTGTATTTCTTAAAACGGACCGCCCCCAAAACTTGTCACCTCACCTAATCCTTCTACTATTGGTCCATTATATATCGCCTGACTGGCATTGTTTTATGCCCGTGTGCAAATAAACTATTTCGGTCCGTTAATTCAGCGTAGTCTCCTAGACGCCACATGTTCGTTTGTGTTAGAAACATCGTGTGATCTGATATGGCCGGTCCGTCGAAAAGAATTCGTTTTGAGGATGATAAGTTTGAAGAAACTGTTCTACAGTGGTATAATGAAGTTGATAGTGATGCGAGTGATGTTGACAGTGCGCCAGAAGATGAAGTTATTGAATCTGAACACGACACGGCTTCTGACTTTTCTGAAGAAGACTGTAATGAAAGTGACAGTGATGAAGACAAAAATACTGCTGATTCTGAAGTTATGGAAGGAGAAAATAAATATTTTTACGGAAAAAACCGTTTCAGGTGGTGCACTAGTGAGGTAATTCCTTCGTCGCGCGTAAGAAAACACAACATAGTCATGAAGGTTCCAACTGTAAAAGGAAGAGCTCGCGACCTAGGTAACAGCGCAAATCCTATCCCGGTATGGAACCTATTTTTCTCCGACGATATTTTAGAACAGATAATTATATGGACAAATCACAAACTCTTCCAAATACGTTCAAACTACAAGGATAAAAACAGTATCAGCCATGTAAGAGATTTAGATAAAATCGAATTGAAAGCTTTCCTAGGTTTGTTGATTTACAC